AGAGAAAATACTCAGCAAATTTACGCCATTTGAGAGAAGCAATAATGGAAAAGAGAAGAGGAAAGTTGACCGAGGGAGTGCTGTTTCTTCATGACAACGCACCGATCCACACGGTGCGGCTCTCTAAGGCCCCGTACGAGAACTAAAATATACTGTAATGTAAAGTATATAATGCGTGTACGGAAATTAATCACCCGCAGCCCAGATCTAGCCCCTAGTGACTACTTTTTATTTCCAAACTTAAAAAATGACCTTCGGGGTAAATGATTTACTGACGATAATGATTCAAATCCACTGTAAATGAGCATTTTTCAGGCCGAGACGAAGGATATTTATTCAAGGTAATAAAAAAACTTTTTTTCTCGAAGAAGTAATGTAATATTGAAAAATAAAAAATATTTCATAATTTTATTTTTTTTCTATCATACGCATACGAGAACACATTGAACGACCCTCGTAGAATGCCAAAATAAAGATTTATAGAAGTTTACATCTTTTTATCTTTCATCCCGATGTTGACCGTCTTTTTTCGCTTAATTGACTGGACTAATCTATTTTAATACAATAATGAATTGAAAGAATTGATTGAAACCGAAGTGGCAATGAGCCCATATAGCTCGAAGAACCGACAAGCGATGGGAAAAAAAGGTTCTCGAGTGGCAGCCTCGTACCGGTAGGCGTAGTGTAGGGCGACCCCCACTAGATGGAGTGACGACCTGGTAAGACATGCAGCAAGTCAATGGATGCAGGTGGCTCAGGACCGTGCTTTGTTGCATACCTTGGGTGAGGCCTATGTTCAGCAGTGGACTTGTGAAGGGCGATAATGATGATGATGATAAATGAATAGAAACTAATTCAGTGCAATACTGACTTACTTACCTAGATGATTACGTTACTATGAGGAATACAATGAATATAATTTAAAATGTAATGGCTTTTATGATGGTTAAAAAAAGTATGACACCTTAGTTTGATCAGCAATAACTTTTATACAGTGGACTCGTCCTCTGTAACGTTACACTTCTATAACATATTTTGAGTAATCTTATTTCAAAAGATTCGTCAGAACAATTTGTTATCAACAGACTGTTATGATATTACGGCTACTTCCAGACTGCATTACCTGTTAATTTATGAGAATGTCGTACATCATAATATTGTGAAGCATTTATTGAATCGCCTTCACCGTACAGTCAAGGAACAGGTTTGTTCTCCTGTCTTGGAGACGTCATTTGCATACCTGGCGCGTCGAGTTCGCTTCAGGCTGCTCACATTTGCTTTATATTGATAATGCTAGTGATAACATTCGTATATGTGAGTATTAGTACGTAGAATGATTTAATGAATGAACTTGTATGTAGATAATTTATAATACTAAAAATTATTTATTTAGAAGTCATTCTTTAATGTAGTTTTGATAACAAAATAGTATGTCGAATTTTAATTAAGTTTTAATTTTAAATATGTTGTAATTAATTTTAAATATGTTGATTACAAATTTATTATGTATCTTTTTAAAAAATGACATATTTTATCACTTTCGTTATAAAGCCATCAATACCTACACATTTAGAATTTTTACGTAATAATAGTTTTTAATATGTCATGTGGAATGGTAGGATTCATGAATATCGAATTAGGATTTATTAGGATTTTTTACGTGGTAGAGCCACTCTGCAGCTATCATAGTTGTAGCATGAATGGGTCAGCTCGACCGGGGTAGGACCACTCTCTCACTGAATACCAACGTAAAATAGCAGCTTAATATTGCTGTATTTCGTATGGTGCGTGTGGAGAACTGGTTTCTAAGATGGAATGCCTCTCTTCCAGTGGTGACAGGGTGGATAACACATCTGCATTGCGGTTCTTAATCGAGGATAAATATAGATGTCTATGGGCCATAGCATCTTCTTATATTTCCACGGTAACTCTGTCTGTCGCTTGCTACACGTTATGAGACCATGTGCAATCCATTTAGACTTCTTTAGAGTAGACAGTTTAACTTTCATTACTGGAAAACACAAATTTTGACACAAAGAGTTTGAATAAATCGTGAAACTTATAATAAGAATCATTTGCGTCATAAACTTCTGGAAGATTGAGATTTTATAGAATTTATAAATTTTTTTCTGTTTTCTGAGCAATAATTTCTCCTTTTTGCTCACCAATACTTTATAGCATAGGTTCTCTCAATAGGATATTGAACAATTTGAGCGGTATGGTCTGAGAATGATAACTCTACAACTTTTCCTTTATAATTATAGAGATTATGAAGATTGCTTATACAAGTCAAGGATTTAAGTCTTGTTGTTTGTACTCATTGAAGTAATATGTACTAACGTACTAGAACAGCTATCTCAAACAAAAAATGTGCGCTACTTTGTGTTCGCGCGGTTGGTTTTTTATCATAGAATAAACATAAGTAGAATGACCCGTAGGTAATAGTAGAATGTATTGTTTAATGTCCATGTCACACCTATGCCGGTAGTTGTCAGGAGCACTAAGCTCGAAGTTGTTGACGAGTACGAGTACGTTTACCTGGGACAAATAGTCCGACTAGGTAAGTCCAACTTCGACCGAGAGGTCAATCGATGGATTCAACTCGGCTGGGCAGCGTTCGGGAAATTACGACACAACCTTCTCGTCAGGTATAGCTCAAAACCTGATAACTAAGTTGTACAACCAGTGCGTGTTGCCAGTGATGACGTACGGAACCGAGACGTGGTCCTTCACTGCTGGCCGTATGAGGACGCTCAAAGTCGCTCAGCGAGCTATGGAAAGGGCTATGCTCAGAGTTTTTCTGCGTAATAAATTTAGAAATGAGGATATCCGCAGTAGAACCGGAGTGACCGACATAGCCCAACGGATTAGTAAGCTGTAGTGGAAATGGGCCGGCCATATAGCTCGAAGAACCGACAACCGTTGGGGAAAAAAGGTTCTCGAGTGGCAGCCTCGTACCGGTAGGCAAAGTGTAGGGCGACCCCCCACTAGATGGAGTGACGACCTGGTAAGACATGCAGGAAGTCTACGGATGCAGGTGGCTCAGGACCGTGCTTTGTAGTATACCTTGGGTGAGGCCTATGTTCAGCAGTGGACTTGTGAAGGGCTGTAATGATGATGATGATTATGATTGTTAAATAGGTAAATTATATCTCGAACAATTTTTAAATTTTGTCATTTATTTTGTATATTATATTTCCTTATTTACTATAATATTACAGAATATTATATCACAATTACATTAAAATAATATTTTTATCTGAATATTTTTAAAGGTATTTCTACATGTCAAATATCAAAAACATACTAAATGTATGTTTAACAAAACTTATTAACATAACATTTAAATTACAAATATATTTATTTAAATTAGAATAAGAGTCGTTCATAAATGCTGGGCACGCGAGAGTTAAAAATGGATGAATTTATACCACTTTGACTTTGATGTGGAAACATAAAAATAAAATAAAAGAATATTAATTAGATTCAAACATGAAAAATTTTGCCTGATTATAATAATTTACATTATAAGATATACAAAACGTATTTTTATTAACATGCAGGCTCCTTCACGCCTGTTTTATCTTTTGAAACTTGAGGCTAATTTAAAATTATTTAGTTCTTTGTCCTGTGAATAAACCTGCTTGAAATTATCAGAAGGAATTTTAGCAATGATTTTTTTCATTTTTCACTTTGTAGCAATAATTTTTGTCGTTTCTCTTTTTGGTTTATATTAAAAACTACTAATTTTGTGTCTGCTGTTTTTATGTATTTTTCTAATTGTGTCTTAAGACTGTTATTCTCTAATGGTAAATTATCTATTTCGTTTTGAGCTGTTGCAAAATCTTCCTAACCTCATCATCGTACTGTATAGTATAGTAATAGAAGTTGTACATATGCTAAGATCAGACAAACAGTTTGATTTCTGGTCGACGGAGTGTAAATATTTTGAGATTCCATTACGTTTTTTTGTTTATTACTCACTTACACTTCATGTAAATTTAATAAAAACTTTTAAGTAAAATTAGAAAAATATCCTCCTAATTACTAGGATTTCAACTTGGGTGCTTAACTTTTATAATTGTTAGGCAGTGACAATGACCAACAAGCTAAGTACCTAAAGCGTTTAAATTTTCATCCTTTTTACATTTGAAATTATACTTTGTTTATAAATACTTTCACTGTCTCTTATTCATTATACTTAATAATATAAACATTAATTCAAGAAAGTATTTAATTCTTTAATAAAGTCTACCAAAAGAAGGATATTATTTTTATTTATAGTTATGAATTATTTTTAACTTACATAATGGTTTAACACTGCTAAACATAAGCATTGTGATATACCTGCACATAACATAAACACTCATGCCTGTCACACATGTCCTCCACATTTATATACCTACGCATACTCCTAATTTTGCACATTTTCAATATATCGCCAATTTGGTCGATAAACTTTCGCCTAGGACGTCCCTTCACTTCACTTCATTTAAACATTTATTTTTTACGGACACCTTGCTTACGCGACACCATCAAGTACCCACTGTAAACTACTATATACGTCCCATTAATGGGCAGAAACCGTTTTTTTTTTCTGAGACATTCATGGGAAATTATTCTACTATGCTGCTTCAATAGGTGTTGGCGGTGTTTCACATGTCTTCGGAATATGAAACTCCGCCGTACTCCTTGTATTTTAGATATTTCCTTCCACACCAAGCACGTGGTAAATCAGCACTTAAAATTGTAATTAACAATTCTATTGGTGTCGACCGGGAACAAAGAAAATTGCTCGCATACTAAGCAATGTACGGCGGGCGCTTAGCCTCTGAGTTACTATGGCTCGTAAGCTTATAAACTAGTCTCGAATTTATTTACGCGCTAGTGATATTTAACCACTCCCCGCGACGGATGTTTATCTTCTTGTCTAACTTTCAACAGTTTTCCGCTGAAATAAGTGTCAAATATTTAATTTCATTTCTTTAGTGGTTTAAAATATGAACGATAAAAGTACTTCGGTAAGTACTTCAGCCATTTTTAAGTAAACTAAAATGTGAATGATCAAATGTTTTTTTTTATATCTAAAAAAGAAGATTTACTGGATTTTTATTTGTGAACCAGCCAACGCTTTATCAGTGCCTTTACTGGAATTGATATTTGTCTAAGAAATTTTTTACGAGGTAGAGCTATGCAGTTATATTAGGATTGTAGTATGAATGTGTGTGTGTGCGTGCGGGAGGACCACGCTTTCACAGAATATCAGCATAAAATAGCACCCTAATGTTGCTGTGTTTCGTACGATGAATTTAAAGAACCGAAGATCCTATTCACGGGAAACGGGGCATTCCACCTTAGTCCTCAGGGGTGACAACGCATCTTTTTTTTATTCCAACAATATCATCAGCCACAGCATCTATCAAGTGGACTGTCACCTTAATTTCTAGAATCGCTTTTTCATTTAATTTTCATTACTTTGAAGTCTCAGCGTCAGATAAACGTCGAATTTATAATCATTATCATCATCATCATCATTATAGCCTATCAAAAATGTACTGCTGAACATAAGTCTTCACCATAATTTGCATCAAAGGGAGGATTTTATCATAGCTGCCGCGCTTAGCTACCGGCAACAGTTTTTTTAGCTTTCAGTTATCATGAAGATAATTCTGCTCATTTTAAATTTCCCTATATCACCTCATATGACATCCACGGGATGATATGGGGTAATATATATTCTTACACCACCACGTACTTACGTACCACGTACATTTCTCCTGTATGTCATGTATGGATATGGTATGTAAGAATGTAATGGAATTTTATAATTAAGTTTTCATCTACCTTAGGGCGTATGAATAAATACAAAGGAGAATTTATTCATACACCCGGAAGTAGATGAAAACTTAATTAATTAAGTTTTCATCTACCTTAGGGCGTATGAATAAATACAATTCCTTTTTGTGAATGTGCACGCCACAATTTGTGGTGAGCCCTTTCTCTCATAACTTAATGAAATGCATGTTGATTTATTTCCTATAATCTATAGATTACAATAGTAATATTAGTTTTACCGCGTCTAACGGGAATACTGAGAAATTAACATTTAAAATATGTATATCACAATAACCTAAAAACAAACTCAAAGCGATTGTCTAGTAGTTTTCACCGGTATTATTAAGTTAAAATAGTGTATTGTTCATTCAGAGTTTATAGGTACTTTAAGATTAATGGAGAATACTTTTAGTAGTTCCGGAAAAATATAGGGCACAGACAAAGAAACGTGGTATGGAAACTATTTTTAAACGTATTGATTCTTTAGTTATATTATATTAAGTACTCGTGTAATATTTTATTATGTTATCTCATGATTCCGGTTAGATTTTCATGAAATACTAAAGTTATATAATAAATTGATATCTTTTTTTATGTGTACCATTAAGTTACGTTAAAATTTCTAGTGGGCACAAAAACGATTGGAAGTGGAAATAGAAACGTATTAAGAACCGATCAAAATATTATAATTTACTAACTATGACCTAGTATTTCATATCATAATATATATATATATATATATATATATATATATATATATATATATATATATATATATATAGATTTTATCAATAGATTTAGTCGCCCCCTATCCGATACTTTGTTCAGCAAAGACTCGACTTCAGACACAAGTTTGTCCCGGTACTCGGAGACGTTTTCCCGAGAAATATTGGCACGGCCGATGTACAGATCATCCATCAACAGTGCTGTCTTCCGCATTGCAATGGATGTCTATAGATCTATAGACATCTACATCTATTAGCATTGAAGTATCGAAGAGCAGATGCGTTTTCATCCTCGAGAACAAAATTTTAATGCCTCGTTACCAGTAAAAACGTCTCCATACCCACGAAACACAGCATCATTATGTTTTACATTGATATTCTGTGAGAGTGTGGTGCCACCACTGTCGAGGGAACTCACTCCTGCTGCAACCATGTATAGATAGCACAGCTGCAGCGCGACCCAATTACGTGGTTAGGTAAAATACTGATGTGTGTATATATATATATAACGAGCAATTCTTGTATATATATATATATATATATATATATATATATATATATATATATATATATATATAATCGGAATCTCGAAAACGGCTCCAACGATTTTCATAAAATTTAGTGTCCAGGGATTTCGGGGTAATAAATCGATCTAGCTAGGATTTATTTCTAGAAAATGTCGTTTTGTGTGTGTTTTCAGGCAATGAAAAACTGCTACAATATAAGAAGGTACATTTTGACAAATGATCGTAATAGCTCAAGTGGATATCGGGCCGTCGCGAAATCGTAGTGCCCTGGTTCGCGTCCTGTCTTCGGTCCGACTTTTTTCCTTTTTTTTTTCAATTTTTGAATTTTCATTTTTACAAGAAAAATATTCTAAGTTTTTCGGATAAAATGTAATCGATACTTAATGATTTCTTATAATTACGCGAGCTCTACACATCGAATAAAAACTACTTTTTTAATTTTTCAGAGTTAAACTAGGGTACCTTCAGTTTTAAATTATTAATTTCGGTTTGATCTACACAGAAAAGTTGCACTGAAATACTTGGGTTTGGATTTAATATTATGAATACCGCCACCATCTACCTGATAATAATTAAATCATTTAAAAAAACGGTGGTTGTTAAAACGCCTGTTAAGTGTAAAATAAAAAATATTTATATTATATAAATCTTGCCAGGCAGACGTTGTTCTGCCCTTTTCGACGACCCTTTGTCATGTCCTATTAAAATCCATAAATTCGCAAAAAAAAAAATTGTGGGTCACTCATGAGCAAACTATCTTATCTCTCAAATTGGACCAAACTGCACACGGTGTGCAAATTTGATTAAAATCGGTTAAGAAGGTTGGGAGTCCATCGCGGACAAACAACGTGACACGTAATTTATATATATTAAGATGGAGGCCGAGGTAGGTTTATGTTCGGCAGCAGTTTTTTGATTTAAAAAAATATTCTAAGCTCTTTCCCTGCTCTATTAATTATACCCTGCCCCGTGAATTATGCTCGACCGGGTTAGGACTACGCTCTCACAGAATACTAGCACAAAATAGCACCTTAAGTCTACTGTGTTTTGTATGGTGAGTATAGAGAACCGGTGACGTTTTAACTGAAAACGAGGCATTTCTTAGTCCCCGGGGGTGACAACGCATCTGGAATTTGATACATAATCGAGAATAAATGTAGATAACCTTTATTCGATAAAAAAATTGTTTAACTATTGTGTGTGTTTCGCGAACAGGAAACCTGTTAAACTTATGAACTGACCGGTAGTATAACTGGGTAGATAGTTATACTACCGTCAGTTATCCAGCAATCAAATTTAAATAATAGAAGAAAATTTTTCTTGAAAAAAAAAATGAAATCGGTCTAGTTTCGTAGGTCAGGGGAATACATGACATTCATATGTATATAATAATAATATAATAATAATAAGAATATCTGGACCTGGCTCACGAGGTGACCGACATGTGGGGGTGGTCTGCCGACCGAAATTATTCCTGTAGTCGTCTCTGCAAACGGGCTAATCCCAGTCAGCCTCTCGGGTCATCTGAGGCGGCTGGGACTACTTGGCGGACCGCTCCAGGCTCAAATGCAGAAGGCGGTGCTCCTCGATACCGCCCGTATCGTCCGCCGGTTTCTTTCCCTTTCCCCCTAACCCTCGGCCGTTTGGTCTCCCCTGCCGAGGGCCTCCATCTGGTTGGGCTTTTATTTATTTATGTATTTTTATATTTATTTTATGTTATTGATATTTATGTATATATATCTTTTCATTTTCATTTATAATTATATATTTATAGAACCCAACCAGATGAGAATACTATATAGATACCCCACAATAATAATAATAAATAACAATGGCGTAGGGAAGTGACGACCCCATCGCCCGCTGACGTGACGGTTATGTGACAAAACCGCTACGTCCGCGCAGTCAGTCAGCGCCTTGCCAAGAGGTGTGAGCGCCGTGCCTCGGCAAAAATTGATGGTGCAAGGGCCGGCTTGTGCATATGGCCTCACCATGAAACGGCGCCGGGCCTGGGCGTCTCCCGTTAAATGACGCCATTGTATGGATGATGGAACACAGAAGATTGCGCAAAGGGCCGCTGCCTGGAGGTCGCCAGGGCGCGTCTGGAGCTGGCGCTGGACGCGACAGCATGCCAGCAGCCCCTCGCATCCATCATCCCCACCAGATTGCTTGGTGTCGGCAGGGTCTTCGCAGACCCAGCAATCGGCACCCGCCGCTGGTGGAGTACGTCGCATGCGATGGAACATCAATATGAATGCAAACGCATTGCGGGCGTATTTTAGGGCGAAAGGGGGAGAATCTGGAGCTTTGGCGTATCGGGCTAGGACGCATCGTCTTTTTACTGAGCTGGAGCCATCTATTACTGTCACCGAGCAAAACCTGGCAGACCGAGTTCGGTATATCTTACGCTCAAATATATTTGATGGCGCCGAACTCGAACGGCTACGACGTGAGGCTGTTCCCTCGTCAAATGAAAACGCTACGACTGGGGGTGCGGCGCCACAAATTGTAGAACAACCCGCACACGTGGATGCCGCCGAGAATACCCCAGTGTGGTTTCTGATTCAAATGATGATGAAACATTCACCCAGGAACTGGAAATAGAGCAAATGAGGAGTACATTGTAAGAGGCGATTATGGAAACGCGCAGTACGCCTCTCGAAAATCGACCGCGACTTCCCCGCATAGCCCTAAGCAAGCGGAATCGGGCTGTCGTGAGGGCTCTGAACCCAATGCTGGTGACCTATTTGGAAGCCAGCCGGGACCTTTGCGAGACGGACTCAATTCTCTTTGGCGCCGCGCTGGCAGTCTGCCGTATTATAGGCGCCAAACTTTCCACGGCTGGACGCGCTACTGGACAAAGTAGCGCTATCCCAGCCTGGAGAACAAGAATTGAGGAACGTATCGCAAAGGCTAGGGCCCTCATCGGCAGACTGATATGCTTCAGGTCAGGCAATACCAGGCCAAGAATTGTGCGCACCGTCAGGATGGCGTTTGCTGGGACAAATGTCAGTTTGTCCCAGCCGGATATAATGCAAAAACTGACGGAGCGCATAGACGACCTGAAGCAGAGAATCGCTGCTTGGGGAAAGCGGATTCGGCGATATACTGAGAGGTCGACACGGTTCAACCAGAATCGTCTCTTCCAGAGTGATCAGAAGAGGCTCTATAAATCATTGGAGCGACCAATGGTAAGTGGAACGGGCCCAGTACCGAATCAGGCCGACACGGTCGCATTCTGGCACGGCCTGTGGTCAGAGCCCGTAAACCACAACGAGGGCCCTTGGACGGAAGTTGTGGCGAGTCAGTGTGCGGGTATTACGCCCATGGACCCCGTCACTATAACGCCGGATGACGTAGCTGAGGCGGTCCGTAGGGCCCCGAACTGGAAAAGTCCGGGGCTCGACGGGCTGCATCACTACTGGCTGAAGGGGTTCGTGGTTTGTCACACTGTGCTCGCCCGACAGTTTCAAGAGGTTCTCAACCAGAAGTCGCTCCCGAGCCTCTTCACTACTGGGATCACCCATTTGGTTCCTAAAGGCCAGGGTACCACAGACCCGAGCAAATACCGCCCCATCACGTGTCTACCGACTATATACAAGACACTAACATCCATTTTGAGCGCGAGAATCTTGTCATGGGATGTCGCGCACTCAAAATGGATGTTGGGGCGGCGGTCGTGGAACCAAGGAACCACTCCTCATTGACGCGGTCATTGGCAAAGTGGTGAAACGCAACCGTCGGAACTTCTCCGCCGCCTGGATACACTACAGAAAGGCATTCGACTCGGTGCCCCATACATGGCTAAAGAGAGTCCTCGAGCTGTACAAGATAGACTGTACAGTTAGAGACTTCCTCGAGCAGTGTATAGGGCAGTGGAGTACGATCCTTTGTCATCTGGGCGAGCGGATGATGGCTGCGGAGAACCACATAAGGATAGGAAGGGGTATCTTCCAGGGCGATTGTCTGAGTCCAATATGGTTCTGCCTCTCTCTGAACCCTCTCAGTACCGCCGAACGCCTCCATCTGGTAGGGCTTTTATTTATATATGTATTTTTATATTTATTTTATGTTATTGTTATTTATGTATATTTATCTTTTCATTTCCATTTATAATTATATATTTATAGAACCCAACCAGATGAGAAAACTATATTGATACCCCCACATAATAATAAAATATTTATTCGTTGACTAAAAGTAATTAAATATTTAAAAGTTAAACTAATACAAAAATAATATTTTTAGAAGGACAATGAAAGGGTTCTGACTCAGCATGTGATGCAGAGAATCTACAACGCTGTTATTCTGTCAGCACGCATAGACCTACTTAGTGAGCTAGAGTATAACAGTACTCGTACATCACTGATTATATTACAAATAGCTTTTACTGTTAAATTATTTATTTATTCATTCAGCCAGTACAAGAACTATATAATTAACCAGTACAAGTTATCATAATATTTCTATTAATAATTTGATAATTAATATACATGTACAAGAGATAAAACATAATATAAACAAAATATAAACGTAATATAAACAAAAACATGAAAAAAATTGTATTAAAAGTAAGAGCTACAGTAGTGTTTTATCTATTCAGATTAATGCTACATAAAAAGAATATTGGTAGTAAATGTAAGTTACATAATTGCATATATGCAGCCCCTGCCGAATTTTTTTTATATTTATGACATTTTCTGCGTACTAAATACTCTTTGTATTTTCTCTTAAAACTGTTCTTATTTGTTATGACTCGTAATGGTGGTGGAAGATCATTCCAACATTTGGTGGCCATAAATTTGTAACTACCACGAAATGCTGATGTCCTATGTTGAGGTATGCAAAGTACTTTTGCACACTTTCGGATACCAGCAGTAGCTTTTCATATAGGTATTCTGGTTTCTTTGTTTTTATCACTCCAAATAGCAGGGAGGCATAAAATAATTTGAGACGTTCCTGCATTTTAAGCATATTAGAGGCATTAAGGTAAGGTGTAACATGTGTTCGTCTTGGGATGTAAAAACAGTAACGAGCGCAAGCATTTTGTACCCTTTGAATTAAATTTTTTTAATTTTTTAAATAGACAAGGTCCATACAAAGTTATACAATAATTTAGTTTAGACAGAACTAAGGTTTCACATAATTTAACACGTAAGTCTACAGTGATAAACTGCCTGATTGAATATAAAACTTTCAATCGGAAAAAACAACTTTTTACGACATTAATTACATGATTTTCAAACTTTAAATAACTGTCCATAAGAACCCCATGATTCGTACTTCAAAAACTCGTTCAATGTTTTTCCCATCAATACGTACGTTAGGATCAGTAGAAGTTATGTCCTTTACTTGCTTTTTAGTACCTATAATAATAAACTTAGATTTTGTTGGATAGATAATCTGATCTGAATAGATAAAACACTACTGTAGCTCTTACTTTTAATACTATTATTTTTTTCGTGTTTTTGTTTATATAAATAAAAAAGTAGGGCACAATGAGATCCCTAATATTAAAAGAAAAATATTTTTTGAATATTTTTACTGTTATCAGAATATTAAATAATAAAGTGTAATAATATTTGTAATCAAACTGTACTAAAACTATATTGACATTGTAAAAATAACTAATATTAAAACTAACACACAAAAAACCGAATAGTAACAACAACAATAAGTTATAACTTGTACTGACCGACATCAAAACAAAAACAACACATATAAACATTATTAAAAATTGATTCCACATTTTAGCAGAATATAGACAGAAGATTGAATTAAAACTTAAAAAAGTAGGGCACAATTATTAGATACCTAATATTAACAGAAGAATATTTTTTTAATATTTTGATTGTTAACGGAATATTAATCAGACTGTACTAGAACTAAGTCGACATTGATCAAACTTTACTAAAACTAAGTTGACATTGAAAGTGTAATTGACATTAAAACTAATATTCAACAAACCGAATAATAGCAAAAACGTTAGAAGCCCAAAGGACACAAAATTCAATTTATAATCATTTAACTGTTTTGGAATATGGCTCACCAAAAATACGCGTAAAGTCATCTTCCGAGTAGATGACGCGTACCGAAGCGTTAAAAGGATCTCCCCTCTTGACATAAACTCGACCATCTTTTGTCCTCACGAATTTCCATTTTAATTTTCGGGCCATTTCACGTGCTTTAGCAAATAGCACACGATTTGGTTTCGTTAGCCTCTCATTAACATAAAACTTGGTTGTTTCTTTATAAGGTAACCCTAGATCTACAGTGGTGAGTTGTATAATCATGTAAAACCCAACTCGACAGTAACAGATCCGTATAAACCTATTCTTCAAATTTCTTGCAGCCTATATATCCTCTTAATATTAATGAAATGTCCCTGTATATTAATACAATTTAAACTTTTTGTATAATTCTTATTTATTTAATATAATGTCATTTTAACAACTCTTATTTCTAACGAGAAACTTAAAAGATCGGCTCAATATTGTAGCGTATACTTTATAACTCAAGAACGAGCTCACCTTCAGGTTTTGTTCGGACTATTTAGTATATGGTTTATGTGAAGTTTGCACAAAATCGGTCGAGTGGTTCTTCATTTATCACATTTTTTGTAACTAATGAATTCAATAAATGGCGGGTCATTTTGTTAATGGAGATTTTTAGACGGGGAATTGTGCTGTCAAATTAAAAGTAGAAATCAGAACTTAGTACTTTATTGTTTCATTTGTTTTGGGGGACGCTGGCGCGTGCGCGCCGCACCGCTCCGGCGAAAACTGCAGTTGTTTTCGTATTTTTGAAAAAAAAAATGAGTACTTTAATGAGTTGCGAATAGAGTTCAGTATCCGTTGATAGTGAACGAGTCGAAGCGAAGAAAGAAGTATGCCCACTTTCCATACATTGATTGACCTGTCATTTGATTCTTTTTCAGGTCGCGTCTACCTACAATTACTGTTGCATAAAATCAATTATTGTTTATAATAACATAATAACTTATCACCTTTTTATTTAGAGGCCAGGGAAAAATGCTATAAACTAAATAACTTTAACAAATTATAACCTGTCAACTGTACACTATGGTATACTATGGCGTGGAAGGAAAAATAACTTCCACACCATAGTACGTACACAGAGAAACCTATAGACTAAAATTAGTGTGGCCTCGAGTGAGAAAGGACGATAACGTAGTTCTAGGTTATACAATAATCTTTATGACTTTTAAACATATTTAGATAAAAATTTTAATTGTTCTAAGAATTGAACTGAACAAGATTCACCAACCCTAAGCTCACAAAACACTTTTTTCTCACTTACACCAATTTGTAAACTCCTTAGATCGCTACGAACTGTCAAAGTTGTTTCGCAAAGTGTAGTATGCTAAACAAAAAAAAAACCGGCACGGAGAAAGGGACAAACAATCACACTGCTCTGTCTCATTTCTATGCAAGACGTATGCATAAATCTATCTTTTTCGTGTGCAAATGTGAAAGAAGGCGTCAATTTTTCTATACATTTATCTGTCTACGCCATAGTATTAAACCACAAATAAGCATATCTGATCATCTGCGCCCTCTTTTCCCAAAAGAGGGTCGCTCATG